GATTAAGACAGTAAACTGGGCCAGGCGCAGTATAATGCCCCGTAATCAGCGCTTTGGGAGGTCTAGGCGGGTGGATTGCTTGAGTCCAGGAGTTCAAGACCAGCCTGGGCAACACGGCAAACCCTTGTCTCTACAAAAAATACAAAAATTAGCCAGATACAGTGGCACATGGTTGTGGTCCCAGCTACTTGGGAAACTGAGGCAGGCAGATTGTTTGAGTCTGGGAGATGGAGGTTGCAGTGAGATGGGCCACCGCACTCCAGTCTGGGCGACACTGAGACCCTGTCTCACAAAAAAAAAAAAAGATGGCCATTGATTACGTATAACTGACTTCGTTCCCTTCCAAAACTCCCCTAAACAGTACTATCACAAGGAAAGGAAGACAAGAAACAAAAGCAGTATGATTTTATAAGTAAAAGAACAGAAGGATGAATGGTTAACTGCCAACCTGAGACAGCCAGAGTCTAAAACAGTGGGAAAAAAAGCCAAGAAACATTCTGATTTATGCTGTAGGCTCAGAAGTCTGCAGCACCAGGTATCCCTGGAACAGAATGGGCAGATGCTAAAAAAAGAGGTTGAGAGATCTCTTCCCTCCCATCAAGCTGATGGTGACAGGCCTTTCCCCATCCTACCACAGATTCTAAAAATTTTTTTCTTTGACAAGATAGAACATAAGATCTAAGACTTGGGTTCACCAAGTACTGGGGAATGTTTCAATACCAAGAAATATCCCCTCTCCACTGCCTGAACCCAGGAGGCGGAGGTTGCAGAGGGCCGACATCACGCCACTGCATTCTAGCCTGGGTAACAAGAGCAAAACTCCGGTCTCAAAAAACAAAGAAATGTCCCCTCTCCTACTTGATTCCCAGAGAGCTGGCATCCAGACTGATATTTTCCAGGCGGCAAACTCTTCACTGGAGGCTTTCTTTCTCAGCAAGACTCTTCCCTGGGGAACCAAGCATCAGCAAAAAAGGAAAGTTCTAAAAATATTAACCTATGCGGTTCCCCATCAATTGGCCAGAAGATCATCCACAAGCTTCAAGTTAGAAACCCCACTCCCACTCTTCCAATTTGCTTTTTAGGTCCCAATTGTTTTTGTTGTTGTTCTTCTTGTTTTTTGGGTTTTTTTTTTTTTTTTTTTTTTTTT